TTTTCTAAAAATAGTGTAAAATCAGCCAGCAAAATACACTGCTATAGCATTGGATCGAACTCACTATCTACAACGTCTCAGATAAGCACTTAGACAGTACCCTCTCCTGAAACCTTATGAATAACAGAATTTCAGAAGCAACTGCAAAACAGTAACGAACGAAACTTACTTGAACTCTTAACACACAAGCTATAAAATCGCCACACATATTTTGAACTCTACACGGAAAAGCCAACACAGTAAAATGAGTTTTCGGTTGGGAAAAATTGGACTGATCGAGGAACAAAAGCTTTGTAAGTGCTAAGAAACGAAATATCAGATCAATTTTTAAACCAAGCTGCACTGCACAAACACAAGGCCAAAAAATAGTTTTAAAAAGGTAAAAAAAAGGTAATAAAAAGATAATATTAATGAGATTATGCTCTCAACAGGGTATGCAGACGCTTGGTTTTGTGACGCGCGGACAATTTTCTGTTTTCCGAACAAAATCACGGTCGGACTCCAACTATTGGCCTTTGTCATTGTAAGCAGGTGCGTCAAATCTTCGCCACATGCGCAAATTAAAGTCTGAACTTTGATTTCATATGAATCAAAGGTAAAATGATTGAAGTATTCTGTTACTTAAGTTGTTAATCCGAGAAAAGTCTAGATTCCGATTTAAGAAGCGTAATTCTCTTTACAAAAAAGATTTGGTAAAAATAGCATGCCACTCAAATAATAGCAAATGGAATTTCAAACAAATCTATCTCCGTGAGAAGAGAAAGAAAACAAACAAAAGCTTTTTTTTCTGGAAAAAAAATGAAGTTTTACAATTTTTGGTTTTGAATAGTGTCCGAGAAATCAATGGATTCTCAGCTTATGAGCATAAGCTTTCAAATTTGATCTATTTCAATTCAAAGTATTGACTACGACTAAGAGAAAAACATTCGGTAAATAACCTCACACGGTTACAGCCAACAACCAATATACTGAAAAATAACGCCAACAGACAGTTGGAAAAGAGTCAATGAACGCAAGTAAACAGAACAAAATACATACTTAATTTTTGAAAAATCTCAATTTTCGATATTCAAAGAAAAAAGAGGGGCATTTGAAACTATTTGTTTTTCTAGAACAATTTATGATGGCACTTTTTCGATAAAATTAGCCTGAAAAAAAAAATGGATCAAAAATTAAAATTTTTAACTCGCTGGAAAATCTGAAAACTAAATTTCACTTTCAAAACTTGAAGTTAATCAAGTTTTTCGCGACGTTTTACACTTCCTGTTGTTCCTTAAGGATGTTTGCCTTCCTTTTAACGAAAACAAAACGAAGTGAAATTAGAAACAGATCAAAAGTCAAACCTCGAAAAAAAATTGAGCTTGAACAAAAAAAAACACCAAGCCCTATCTAAGAGTCTGAACTACGTCAAAAAAACAATCAAAAGATTTGCATGGAACACATAAAAATCAATTACGATCCCTAAATAAGTAGAAGATGTAAGATGAAGGAAGTACATTGAAACGAACTTAGAAATGGTAAATTCCTAAAATTACCATTCTGTGAACAAAATTGTTTACGAGAATAAAAACCTAGTACCCTGTTGCAATATCCTTCCTTATCGCAAGGGTAAAAAATTACAGAAATACGTCAAAAATACTTGCATCTTTGACGAAAATTGCCGACCGCACAAAAACATTCCATAATGTGACAACTAACCGACAAAACATAAGCACACAGGCAATAGTCCAACATTTCAAGTTTCCCCGGAAAACTTCGTTACAATTTCATACATACAGAAATAAAACAAGGTCTGTCCGGGACTCCCAGGTCTTAAGGTACAGAGACAATCGCTTTACCTCTATGCCAAGTGGAGAGCAGTCTCGAAATTGCCAAGCCATTTATGAATAAACTTTAATTTCAACTTCAGATATGCAAAAAAATGGTTACGAGAAAAACTCTACTTCCCAATTATTAGACACTTTTTTCGCAAGTGTAAGCAAAAGTAAGAAAATTGAGAATGTAACAGTAAGTTTTAAAAAACTTTAAAAGCAGGACTCGATTTGGTGAGCTGGAAAAATGCTTTCAATGTCGAAAGTTTTCATTTGGTGTGATTCGAATGATAGCCAAAAGAAGGTTGGAAAAAAGTCAATGAACGCAATTAAACAGAAAAAAAAATCGACTTTTTGAAAATTTCAACTGTCGAATTTCAAAGAAAAACAATAGATCTCAAAGCTTTTTGAAATTTCAGAACAATTTATGACAGACCTTTCTTCGATAAAATTAACCCAAATTGAGAAAACTGGATCAATACATAAATTTTCTATTTCGCTGAGAAATCTGAAAATTGAATTCTTTTTTCGAAACTAGAAGTCGATCACGTCTTTTGTGACATTTCCATTTATGACTGACATGTTTTATTACCATTCCAAGTTTTATCAAAACTATTGCAAATTCATACACAGCGGCGAAGCTGCACTTCGCAAACACTTGCGAGAAGACGACCAAAACGCAGCTCAAGTAGCACCAAATGCAAAAATACACACTTTCGCTCGTAATACATTGCAAAGCATAAAGACACATTGTTTAAATTATGAGTTTCAAAAATTGTCAGATATATTGAGTTAGAAAACTTCGGAAATCGAAATTTCAATATTGTTATATTGTTTGAAGCAAATCACTTTTTTCGGTTCATTTGATGAATTGACACAGAGGTGAAGCTGCGACGAAAATGCAACAAAGAGCTCTAAACGGGCAAAATAAAGCGAAATAAGGAAAAGTTAAAAAGCACCTAGAAAGTTTTTTTGCTGAGAGAAGGCGTATCACGTTCTGAAAACTGCTCCACGACCACTTGTAATTTTACTAACACTAGCCACCAATAAAGCAGCTTCAGTTTCTATTAAATTGCCATTGTTACGTATCAAAAATTCTTCCAAAAAAAACTCAAATGCTCCAGATGTGAATACTTGACCTACTGATTAGGAATCTCACGTCTTCGCCAACGTCGCTTGCAAAAAAACTAGAGACCCAGCTGATGCTGAATTCAACTCTTCTAATATTTTTAATCATATTTTGTACTGATACGAAAACGCGTAATTTTCAAAGTTTCAAAAAATGGACTTCACGCTATACCCTAGAGTTTCTCTGCTCAAAAAGGAGACAAAGCGCTTACTTAAAAAAGAACACTTCAACTCGCTCTTTCAATTGAAGCGAAAAAAAATCAAAAAAAGATTCCAAAAATCGATCAATTTTTCCTAAATCCCTTTATTTTTCTCTACTTAAGCATAGGAATAGCCTGTTTTCCACACCAAGAATTCTAGATTGGAGATTTCCACATCCTAATTTTGTAGAATGAGTCCTTAATATCAGACTTTTCTTGTAGTTTTTGAGAAAATGGACGAAATTTCTTTTAAAAGGTACAAATTTTAAAGAAATTTTTCGAATTCCATAACAGCTTTTTAAAAAAAACAGGTAAACAGATTACGCAGGCAAAATCCAAGCGCCAAGTTGATTATAACGAATTATCAAACTAAGACTCAACAGTTCAGGTTTCTGAAAAATAAAATAATTTTTCAAAAGACGGGCCATACATGTTTAAAAAGCAGGGCATAGTCGCTTGCCCGGGTTAGAGTCGCAAACTTCATGTTAATTTTCGGTTAAGCCACTTATATCCGATTTTGCAGAGTAGTTTTTGATAAACAAAACAATTAACAAAAAAATGTCAAAAAGGTACTTGTTTCAGACCACAACATTTTTCTATCGAATTTAGGTAATAGCCGCTTGAGAGGAGGATATTTCATAATTTGTTCTTTTATTGTAACCTTTACCTCTGATTTGTGCATTTTTAGTATATGAAAAATTTCAAAAAAAAGTAGGCCAAAAATCTCCCTACTGAAAATTGCGAAGGCCGTAGAACGTGAGCTGGAATGAAAAAAGACTAGCGAAATATGCAGACACATAGAAGAGCAGCCAGTTTTCATTTTTTAAAATTGGTTCCGAAGTTTTTTGAGAAATTGAAACTTCTGCGAAAAAAGCAAAAAATAATCCAAGCGTTGCAAAAAAATAAAAAAAATAACAAATCCCATACATTTTCATAATAGATGTTTATTCAAATAGGATCTAGCCAAAAACAAAGCAGCATTATATTCCATTAAATTGCTTATGCTTAAATAAGCCTAAATATGATTAAATTGAAATATACCAAAAGTGCCACCAAATGAGCACTTTTATTTGCGATTTGGGTTAGAAAAAAAAGAAGGTTCGTACCAATACGCTTGCTTCGCAAGTGTAAAAACTGAATCATAGAACTTTTTGGGCTCTTTCTCACTTCCCCCCCCCCCCCGCCGCCTACCTTTCAAGACATGAGTGAAGTTGTTCACCATGTCAAATTTCATAACATTGTGACAACGTAAAACAGTTTTTCAGAGCTAAAATTCAACCGGGAGGGAAAGTGGAAAAGAATCCATTTTTTATTCCGCTGACAAAGCTCAAAATTGAATACAGTTTAGAAGTACGCTAGAAATTCGAAGTGAATAATTAAACAAAAGTCAAACAGCTAAAAACCACAGTGAGCTATAAAAGTGACCACACAAGCAATAAAAAATACACATCCGAAAGACTCATCCTAAATAAATGACATCAGTCTTTCCCACTGAAAAAGTAATTACAACACGCACCAAACCCTTGATTTTAGAATGAGACTCGCTCAATTGATATTGGAGGAGAATCAGCCGAGATTCTTAGAACCCGGTCAGGTCCGCGATTAAATTTTCAATTTTTTCGGTCTCGGAAATGTTAATTCCGCGACCGAATATCCATAGTCTGGACAGGGTTCTAAGTCGCGGACACACTCTGGAAATAGCGTATTTCGGTCGCGATGGTCGAATAATTAGTCGCGGCAGTCGAAAAATTAGCCGCGAATTAAACCCTTTGAGCCTCTCAAAAATTCATTACACTAGGAGTAATAGCAAAAGGGGACTTTTAATACTTTCAATATACAAATTGGTTTGAAAAAGAAAACATTTTGAATTAAACAATTCAACTGCACAAAGGAGGTAGTTCAACATAATTTATTTTCCGTATTTCGTTCGTATTGGCAGATGAAATTGTGGCTATTGCACTACTATTAGCATCTCTGTTATTCTTGTTAGCTCTGGTTGTACTGAATTTAGCGATGTCAAGTAACATGGGCGAGGTTTCGCTACGATGCTTGGATCCAATACGGTTTGGATCCGTTCGATTCAAGTTTCTGGAAGTATTTGAGGGTTTAACTAAAGTCGCTGTCTCAGAGTAATTAAAATTTTGATTTTGCTGGTGATTACTAGTCGCTGTATTTGAGTTATAATTGTTTGCTCCTCCGTTGTAAGCCGTGTTTAGGTGTCTTGTCGCTGAACTTCTGTTTTGTGGGTTTAAAGTGTTCATTTGATCTTGACCTCCGGGAGGTTTCGAGGACGGCGATATTTGGTACTGGTTGGATCTGGGCGCCGTGTGGTATGCACCGAACTCATACATGGACTTGCAGTTGGAATTGTAGAACTGGCTTTGAAGTTTGGCTGTCTGGCCAGAGAAGTCTTGGCTCTGTGGAATTTTGCGGATGGGTGTGCTGTGGAACGAATGCATTGAAGACATGCGACTGGAAGTGTTGATCCGCACTTTTTCCCAGAATATTTTTCGGTCCAGACTACGCTCCGCTCTGAAACATTGTATCATAACAGTTGAAACCATAGGAACATTTCAAAAAGTATTTCATTTCTCAACTTTCTTACTTTTAAAACGTGTAACTGAACTTAGAATTAAGATTTCAGAGCTAACATTCTCAACCACCGTTCATTTTCAGTTTAAAAAAACTGACATAATAACAATAATTCTAAAAAAAAACTTTCCCTAAAAATTGTATCAAAGTTTCTTTTTAAAAAAATTTGAAGACGCAGTGTTCTCAAAGGTTGGGCATCAAATATGTATGAGAAAAAAACACCTGAAACGACCAAATCTGGGTCACATTGACAACCTTTTATCATAATTGACAGTTTAATAATCAAACATCGCCCCCAGGGATCAAAATCCTCCCTACGTGAACAATTAGACTTAGATTGATAAAAAGGGGTCGAATTTAAGTACAAGGACTTCGGGCTTTTAGAACGCAATCGTTTTCAGTCGAAAATCAAATATAGATAAATATTATCTCATTGAGGTCAAAGTTGACGTTTTCTTCCAAGCGATAACAGAAGAGGATTGTCTTGCTAATAAGACTAGGCTGAGCAAAGGTTCAGTTAGTATGAAGTTGAAGTATATTTAGTCAGGACAGAGTTTTTCACTTAAGATACCCTAGATACAACAAATGCAAAGCGCCAGAATATCACAAACTTCAAATATTGGTTTTTTTTCTATAATTCTGACCGAAAAATCTTGGATATTGGGCAAAAACACTAGCAAACAATTTGAAAAGTGGTGGTGAACTCAGCAAGAGAATTTTTCAACTTTCTAGCATTCTGGGACAGTGCCCGGGTTGAACTCCATACACCGAAAATGCTTATCATACAATTCCATACAACAAAAATCTTTATCATACAATTCCATACATCAAGTGTTTGGAGAAAATGCTTGTCATACAATTTTCATGCATTTTCTAAGAACAATAGAAATTAAAAATTAAACAATACCTGCGGCTTTTTGAGAACAGTTGAACAGACTGGTAACGGAAAAAACTGGCTTTAATTTTTTTTTTGAAAAACATGCTTACCATACAGTTTCCATATATGAAAATTATTGAAAGTTATTGCAAATTCCAGGCGATAGTTATTGCAAATTCCAGGCGAAAATTTCAGGCGATAGATGTGTCAACCTTGAAATAAACTGGAAAACTTAAGCTTGCGTTGAATGAACGAAGTGAACTTTCACTCACTCCGTTCGTGATTTTTCTGATAGCCAATTCATCTTCACTAATGTTGATTTTGTTCTCAATTACGGAGATCAGGTTGCATGGGAATAAAAACGCGGATGTGGTTTCAAATTAACTCAAACATCGCTCTTAAAATTAAAATGAAACGACAGGAAAAAAATGAAGATTAAATTTTCTAGTTCTTGTGTATAAATTTTATTTCTTCTTATGATAAACAAAATGCACATTAATCAGTTTTTCTCATTTTAGATTCAATTACTTGTGAAAACTTTGAACGGAAATTTCGTTTAGGTGATAGACATGTCAATTTGATAGAGTTAATTTGAAACCACATCCGCATTTTTATTCCCATGCAACCTGATCTCCGTAATGGAGAACAAAATCAACATTAGTGAAGATGAATTGGCTATCAGAAAAATCACGAACGGAGTGAGTGAAAGTTCACTTCGCCCATTCAACGCAAGCTTAAGCTTTCCAGTATATTTCAAGATTGACACATCTATCGCCTGGAACTTTAATTTGCAACACAGGCGAAGTGCTGCTCATTACGTGTGATACAACATATCAATAACAAGGGGCAAGCTAGCCGACGGAAAACAAGAAAGCTGCCAAATCAGTATAAAAAAAGTTTAAAAAAACTATCTACCTAAGTTCGGGAAAATATGTCCCGATTTGTTTCAAAATTTTTTGAAAACAACATGCCAAATTAGCCAATTTTAATGTTAAATTAGGATCGGAACAAAACTATGAAGCGATGACTAAGCCGATAATACTTGAGCAGACACTCGTTAAGCTAAACAAAATTGCAATGGTAAGAAAACTGAAGAGCCGATACATAGATTTTCAATAGTCGGAACAATATTCAGTGCCTTAAGACTGTGAAAGACTATACTCCAGAAAAAGAGCCTTTCTGTTGACAGCAACAGTTAAGTATTTCTGTTCTTTTTTGTGATGAAGTCACGCGGAAAATTCCGAGCCTGACGTACCAATTATGACGTCACCAAACTTACCTCACATTGTACATGAAGAGCAGACTGACCAGCGTGGTCCTCAGTTGGTCCAGAAACACTGAGAAATAGAAGGCCAACGTCACTCTCAACACACTGTAGAACAGATGGATGCACCAGCAGATTCCTGCCACGAATATGAACATCAATGACGTAATCAGCCACTTGCGCGTCTTTTCGATCTCGAGGGAGAAGGTAGTATTACGTAACTGGGCGTCTGCTTGTTTCGCAGGTTGGAATCTGTAGATGGCCACTAAGAGGAAAAATATTGAGAGGACAAGCGTCAGAGCGGTCGGAAGAATCGAGGCGAAGATGAACAGGCCGACATTAGCTAAAACAACATTGATATTTGTCTATAAATAATCATATGATTGCATATTTGAGGATTGGGACTGTTCGTGAAAACGAAAAAACAGGTTCATAGAGAGATAAAACAAAACAGCTACACGTCTCCGAAATACACGATATAGAGAATTGCAAAAAGTTCGGACAGGCAGAATTAATTAAAAACAGCAACTGTCTAGACATCAACAGAAATTAAAACTGAAATAAACACAACGTCGAAAGCTCATAAAGCAGAGTTACGGGATCTACTTTACAATCCCCCTTTCAAGAAAGGGGAGGAGATCGTTAATACGATTACTTGCAGCGAACTTTCGACCAATCAACTTTCGAATTTGCAGCAAAATTCGAATTTACATGCAATGCTCTAGTGCGAATTTACTGTGTTTATTTACAGGGCTGGAGATTCTTTAGTAGATACAATAGGGGGAGGGAGATTGTTAAGTAGATCCGAGTTTCGCTCAAAACCTATAACTACGGTGGGCAATTGCATCCGAAGTGTCGAAATAATTCACAGTAAAATCTGGATGTTCATCGCAGTATTTAAAAATTAGGCTAGCATAATCATCGGATAATCGACAATCTCGCATTTTGAATTTGGTCAGACGAAAAATTCAAGGTTGTTCGGCTTCAGGTTTTGCATGCAAAAAAGTGTCGAAAAGCACTGATTGCTCATTTTAATTAATTCCGTCTGTCCGAACTTTTTGCTACTAATTATAAACAGGCGAAAACTATCAATGAATTATGAAGATCCTATAATTAGTAGCAAAAATTTCGGACAGACAGAATTAATTAAAATGAGCAATCAGTGCTTTTCAACGTTTTTTTTGCATGCAAAATCTGAAGCCGAACAACCTTGATTTTTTTGTCAGACCAAATTCAAAATGCTAGATCGTCGATTATTCGATGATTATGCGAGCCTAATTTTTAAATGCTGCGATGAACATGAACATCTAGATTTTACTACAAATTAGTAAGCAAAAGTTGTTGAAAAAACGAAATCTAGAGTTAATTTCCACAAAAAAAAATTAGATAAGGCTGCCCCAGAAAAACAAACGGAAGTGAAGATGATCAAATCATTCAAAATCTGAAACTAATCGCAGAAAAACATTAGCCACACTAAGCAATAATTTTTTTTCAAGGTTAAGTATTCGACGCTTCGGATGCAATTGCCCGACATGGATATAAGTTTCGAGCAAACTCTGCTTTATGAATTTTCGACGTTATGTCAGTTATATCAGTTTTATATTCCGTTGATGACTAGACAGTTCCTCTTTTTAAATAATTCTATCTGTCCAAACTTTCTGCAGCTCTCTATACAAATGAAGTATTTTATAATTAATGCCAAATTGATGGCAACATTTTTTTTCGGTCAACGAATCTGAACGAATTTAAATGACGGCTGAAAGTAAGTTTTCACTCAACTGAGCAGGTTAAATCATGTCAAAAAATCTAATTAACAACTGTTTTTGGACCAATTAATTTGCTCAAGGTCACCGATATTGCCAACACTTTGGCATTAACTATATAAAATTATAACTACAGTGCTGATTTAAATTGACCCGACAAAACGCGTTCAACTTAATATACTTAGTAGCAAAAAGTTCGGACAGACAAAAATAAATAAAAAGAGCAAATGACCTTTTTCAGACAATTTTTACATGCAACAGCTTATTTTTCAGACAGAAAGCATGAGATGTCACCTGAAAACTCAAATATGCATGCAAAAATTGCTCAATTGGCAGATTGCTCTTTTTAATTAATTCTGTCTATCCGAACTTTTTGCAACTCTCTATATTTAAAACGCGCTTTTCTCAAATTGGGTTAAGTTTAAGTAAAACTCATGAAGATAAAACTTGCTTGAAACTTTAGCAGAATTAATATGATAAAATTTGTTTCGCGAAATTTGAGCCCAAAGTTTTACCCTAAAAATGGGTCATTTTGGCTTTTCTTAGTTAATGAAAAATTACCACAAAACTACCCAGTCGATCACCAACATAATTAAATCAACGTGAGCCCCTCACGTAGCCCAACAATCATTAAGAAGGGTATATTCTCCAAAACATTGTATAAAATAATTTATTTTTGTTTGATAGACAGAAAAAGGTCGTTTTTACTATATAAAACACCAACTTTTTATTTTAAAACGTTTTTTTAACGATTTGCGAATATTTTTTGAAGAATCTACCTTTCTTAAAATTTGTTAAATTACGTGAGGGGCTCGGCGCACTTTGATATAATTATGTCTGTGATCGACTGGGTATTTTTAGCGTAATTTTTGATTAACTATGAAAAGCCAAAATGACCCACTTTTGGGGTAAAAATTTGGGCCTGAATTTCGAAAAACAAATAACACCATATGAATTCTGCTAACATTTTAAGCAAATTTTGCCCTGGTGAGATTTCACCTAAACTCAGCCCAATTTGAGAAGAACGCGTTTAAATTTCAAGTTAAGAGCGTTTTGCACAAATATAAATTAAAAAAGCATATATTTTGAAAAAATTTTGCATGCAAAACCGAACTTTTCAGTCCAAATTTGTGTCACGAGGGTTGTCTAATTGCATGCAATAATCTGTCAAAATGTTTCATATGCTCTTTTTAATTAATTTTGTCTCTTAATTAATTAGCAGCGAACAGACATTAAATATAGTTAATGCCAAATTGTTGGCATTATCTTTTCGGTCACCGAATCTGAATGAAATTAGCTTACCTAAAACTGCTCATTTTGAAGCCGGATTTTTGTTATTCACAAACTTCCGCACGTAAAAACCGCGTGAAAAAAAAACAACTTACCTAAACTCCTACTGTTGGCCGATTAAAATGCTCAAAGTCACCAATATTGCCAACAATTTCGCATAACTATAAATAAAATACAATCTGTCTATTGAGAACAAAAACTCCCCGACTCGTTGGGGGACCTTGAGACATCATCTGACTTTGTATCTGAAAATAGATCGTTTCCTCTTTTGAAATAATTTTGTCAGTCCGAAACTTTGCAACTCGCTATATTTAGCTAATACAGAATATAGAGACTAAAAAAACTGAACCAGACAAAACATAGCCAACAAACAGTTGGAAAAGAGTCAATCAACGTAAGTAAATAAAAAAAAGCACTGGCTTGTTTTTTTTTCAAAAACTTGACCTTCAATATTCCAAGAGAAAATAAGATGCTGTTTAAGCTCTTAGAATTTCTGGAACAATTTATGATTAAATTTATGTCTTTTTTTAATAAAACAAACTTAACTTGAGAAAACTGTATCGGTAAAAAAAAATTCGAACTTCAAAAAAAAAACAGATGGTCTTAAAGCTCTTGAATTTCTAGAACAATTTCTGACTGACACTCATTTGTTAAAATTCGCTAAGAAACCTGATAGTTAAATTCCATTTTTGAAATAAGTCGATCAAATTTATTCGAGAGCTTTACACTTTCGCTGTTCGTTAGTGGAGTTTGACTTCCTTTTAACAAAGGAAATAAACAGAACTTGAAAAACCAAAAGCCAAACCGCTAAAAAACAACTTTCAGCGCGAACAACTTTTACGACTTTTCCTGAAAAACAAAACGAAAAAAAAAAAAAAAAGTTAATCGACTCTTAATTTTTGACAAAGGGAAAAACTAATTTTTCACACAAAGTATGCCTCATGCCAGCTAAAATTTAAGCTTGTCTGCAAAAATGTCTCAAATTTGGCACATTGCTCTTTTCAATTAATTATATCTGTTCCAATTTTCTGCAACATACTATAGCAGAAACCACAATTGTGTGTAAACCGCTCCATAATCTTGGGAAACAGTTGCCATCTCAAAGCTAAAGTTCTTCCGAATTCTTCAATCAACTCACTAGCATGCAGAAAGTGTTCATTGCTATCAGTTTAAAGTAAAAAAGCAAAACGTCCAAGCTTAAAAACATATTGATAAATTTAAATAGCTCAGTTCTTCTAAGCTTAAAATCATTTATGAGACGGTTTTTTGCCAGCCATCGTTTTCAGAGAATGAAATAGACCGCGATTGCCAAATAATCCCAAATGAGCCAAAGTTTTCAAACATCTATAGTTTTATTAAAAATATATCCCAATACAACCGTCTTTTCAATTTTCAACTCAGGGTGTTCAAATCTTTCAGATGATACAAAACACTGTGCTAAAACGGTTTAAAAAATTGAAATTTGTCTGAAAAAACAGATAACACAAACACTTCCCTCCTTTTATTCAGAACAATTTTCCTTCGGAACAATTACAAAAACCCCTAATAGCTTTAAAAAAAGTAGATAGCCTTAAAGCAGACTCTTTGAATTTCTAGAAAAAATTTAGGACAGACACTTTTTTTATACAATTGGCCCAATTTGAAAAACTGAACCAATGGGTAACTTTTTCATTTCGCTGGGAAATCTGATAACTAAAATCCATTTTCAAAACTAGAAAGCGATCATATTTTCTGTGATCCTAACAATTTCTCAGTTTGATAGTAAATGTTGCCTCCCTTTCACAAAAGAAAAAAATTGATCTTAAAAAGTAATCAAAAGTCATACTGCGAAAAAATAAATTTGAGTCTGAAAAAATTTTAAGATTTATCCTGAAAAAAATCATCATGTACTCTTAAAAAGAGTCCAGAGACTCTATTAAAAGCGTCAACACGGTCAAATTTCGAGCAACCAACTTACGGCTCTTTAAATTCAGAAGTCTTTTAATCTAATACTTTGTATATCAAACCAACCTATTTAGAGAAAACTGAATTCATAGCTATTTTTTACGCCACTAAGAATTATAAAGCAAAGTTCACTTTCGACCAAAAAGCCATTGCAGTTTTACGCTCCTGTTTCATCTTTGTTCTTAAAAAGCGTGAATTGACTTTCATTTAGCAAATGATTTTAATAAAACAATAGTCAAACAGTCACCATTTAAACTTGAGCGTAAAATTCAACAATTTTCTGACAATAAATTTAATTAACATGTTCTTAAAAAGAGAGATGAATGGCAACTTCAGTTGATAGAATGCAATTTATCTTTCTGGCTATCCATAATAGCGGAACAGAAAAAAAAACATAACAAAAAAAACACAGAAATTCAACTGAAAAATTTTAAAAAGCGGACTTGCTTTCGTTGTTAAGTACCTTGTAGGGCGGATCTAGGATTTCCTTGAGGGGGTGGCGGATTTTCAAAACATTTCGAAGACACTTTTTAGGTTGACCAAATTGAATTTTCCAAGCAGTCTCAAAACAACGTAATGACCCAACTTTGACCAAAAATTTTGCGCCACAGCCAAATTTTCGGAAAAAAACAGGCCAAAAAAAGGCGTTTTTGGTCACTTTTTAGAAAATTTTAACCAAAAAATTGCTTTTTTTTCGGCGCGCGCTCCCCTTCAAAATTGGTATATAGTCGCGCCACTAGAAAAAGTTAACGGTTGGTCGGCCTAAAATGGATGGCATAAAATAATACCGAAGGGGGGACCCTTTGGTTGGTGAGTGGGTGGAATACCTGAGGGAGGAGGGGGGTATCCGTCCCCCCCCCCCTAAATCCGCCCCTGGTACCTTGTGTATGTCTTGTTTTAATTTTGAAAAAGATACCGATTTTTCCCAGCATTTGACTGAAATAAATTTATGGACTTCAGAACGAGTTGAATTTTGAAAGAAACTTACAGAGAGAACAGAAGCGACTGCCATAGAGGAATCCGAGCCAGTAAGACTGGGAGTAGTGGGCCACTGCTGTCACGCCTGAAACACAACAATACAAACACTGAATACACACTATTCAAACATTGTTATTATGCAGCCAGCAATATGGCATTTAACGTTTCTACCTGAAGAATTCTAACATTTTAGCTAACACCCACTCAATTTTAAATTGTTTGTGAAAATTTCGTTTTTAATGCTCTTTAAAATTTTCTTGAAACTTGCTGAAGGATTTTTCAGTGTCTACCTTTTGGGACGTGACTGGCATCTGGTTCGATCTACGGCGTTGACAATATTTTTGAAACTTTATATCAAGCAGGGTTCCTTTTATTATCGAGGGACCCTCAATTTTAGGCAAAATCATGCATCAGGGGGTCCTAGAAAATAAGCACCTGAGAGTTAGTTTCTACTTCCTTGAAAAACAAAAATATTTAAATAAAGAGCATAAAAACAGCCTTAAAATGGAAGCCGACCTTCATCTAGTCTATTGGAGCTTCGCACAGACATATCTATTTCTACAAGTTCAAGTCTTTAAATGGTATCAAACAATCAAATCCGGTTTGGACGAAGAAGGGTCCAACTCTTGGGAGCAATCAGCACCCGCCTTTATTTCAGACTTATATTGACCTGAAACGGGAGTTTTTAACTACTTGGGCCCACTTTACATTGATAACAGGAATATATCTTATTGATATAACTACGTCGACGAATTCGACCTAGGATAATCCGTTATAAACTCAGATCAACTTGTTTTCTTTTCCAATTTCCAATGTTGACTTCTTGACAGTTGCATCAAAGATAACAGCTTACAATTGAGTCCTTTAATCCTTTCAGTTCATTATATATTTAGGGGTGAAATAGTTCAAGAGTGAAACTTTCAGATAACAACGCAAGGGCGGATCTAGGATTTTCACGCAAGGGCGGATCTAAGATTTTCACGCAAGGGCGGATCTAAGATTTTCACGCAAGGGCGGATCTAAGATTTTCACGCAAGGGCGGATCTAAGATTTTCACGCAAGGGCGGAAAATTGTGTCGACTTTTTTTAAGTCGACCAAATTGATTCTCTGAGCTCTCCCAAATCATTATAAAGACCCTATTTTGAACAAACTTTCTGCGCCGCCAGCGAACTTTTGAAAAAACAGCCCAAAAAATCGCGTTTTCGGCTTTTTTGGAAAATATTGACCAAAAAATCGCGTTGGTCGAATCCTTTGGGTCGAATCATTGAGGGGGGGGGGGGGAGGGGGGTTGTTAGCTTTTTTAGATCATTAGCATTTTTAGCCCATGGAATATTAACCTATACCTCATTTTATTCAGTAGACAGACAAGACAAGAAATTTAGTCGTAAATGATTTAAGCGGTCAAAAAAACTGACGGCTAGCTTTTCAACCAACATCCTAAAATATTCTGGCATAGGTATGATAGCTAAGGTCCCAGAATTTTAGATGGGTCCGTAAATAAATAGCGAAAAACAAGATTTGCTTTAGCTTACAAAATTCATGCACTTCTTTGTCACAATTTTTTGCACTCTTAGTTTTAGCTTTATTTTCTTATCTGTTGTTTTAGCTTTAACGGAAAACTAACTATGATATCTCTACTAAATGTCCATGAATAACTTACTCAACAAAACCGTAGGAGACACATAGCATAAAATAGCGTGCAAAATGGCACGTCTTCTGAAATCCACACTTGGCGAAATCAGTGGCATATTTTTGAAACTCTCAAACGCCAACGAACATAGCCAGCAATTCTGGGCGATCCAGAAATAATGATCCACTATCGCTGCTACTTCACATTTCAGCTGGTCATTTGTAAGAAGTAACCTTGGTATGCCAGCTACATTTGTGACTACAATACAGAATACTAAATTGAGGGATACGAATCTGAAGACGTGTTTCATTCCTCCCATGTAGACTGCGTACAGTGAGCAGGCACAACAGATGAAGATGGTGCAAAGGGCAGTCAGTACCAGGAAGTAGTCGAGCACATAGTCCAGATACGACTTGGACTCGGCAATCATGATTGAATCTGATCTGGTCAAGGGCAGTTCAATTTTCCCAAAATTAGCTAATTAAGATGAACTATAATACTCCCAATTAAAAAGATATAACTCAATGAAACTGTGATACTTCTCACATGATTCAAAAAGAAGCAATTGAATTGGGAATAATTTGATTAACGAAAATTTTCAATGAAATGAAATTGAATTTCACGTAAATTCGTCCAAATTGTCAAAATATTTGACTCTGTAAATAAATATTGATATTACGTTTTTCTCTCTGTTTCAAATTCGTAGAGGTGTGTCAGTCAAAATAATACAAAGTAATGGAAAAACTTCAATTTAGTACAATTGTGCTGGAATTTAGAACTAAAATAGCAGTATGGTGACTTGCTGGTAAAGTAGCCTAAATATATCAGTTACTGTTGATCTGTCCCATAAAACCTAACTGATTAAAACTTTTAACAATGTTTTCAACCCTAGTTAATGGGTCAATTTTAACTGTCAACTTTACAGCCTGTGAGCTTTAAATTGTTTTCAAGGCTAATTTTGTGGTATAGATCTAAAAGTCACATCGGTCTCACTTTTTGATCGACTTTCTAATTGAAACAATGATTTTTACCAAGTCCTTAGTTACAGAATTGATAGATCTTTAAATAGAAGCTTCTGAAATAGCATGTACCAGAATGTATAGACAATCTCGTAAAAATATCAAACATTCAATCAATTTTTGTTTTTTTTTTATCTCAGACTGATATTTCAATTTGGTTTTAAATAGCGGATACAAAAACACTAAAACAACTTATAGTAAAAAGTGTCTGAACATGCTCAGAAATCAGGGAAAAATTTATTAAAAATGAATATTGCAATAAAAAAACGGCAAACAAACTTAAAACAGGGCGGCCATAAAAAGAAAGAAAGAATCAACGCGTTGTCAAATATTTGCAATACCTGGACACCGAAAAAATTTATAATTTAAAAAGCTTCATTTTGCCATTTTGTTGTTTATAATAACCTGTTGGATAACAGATTGGTTCAACAGTTAATGATTTTTACAGCACTGGTAGCTCTGGTTCTAAAAATCACGTTTTTGATTTTTTAGACCATTTTACTATCAATCTTGGTGTTTAATCAGCGCCAGGATAAATTACAACCAGTATTGTGAAGAAATGCTTGCGGGTATTTTGTAACAAAGGAGCAAAAGAAGCGAATGGTAACTCAATTACAGTGTCTTAATCGAATTTCAGTTAGATTTCGAAGAGTGACGCATACGGTTTAGAGGGTCTTTGACTTGATTCCACGGGGGAACTGGGCCTACCTCTAAGTTTGCATGTTAAGGCAAAAACAACTGAAAATAAACAGATTTTGACCAATTTCACTCATTTACTCCAGATTAAGTGTCGATAAGTTTTGATCAAACCAACCAACAGTTGACAAGTTTCCTGGTGTAAACAATTATCCATTACTTGCTAGTTAAACTGAAGATTCTTTCAACTTCTACTCGGCTGAGTTGTAAGTTATCTCAAAATGACGTACCGTTCAGCTTCAGATAATGGTTCGGCAAATCTTTTCTTGATTGTTTGGCCCTTAAAATTTAATCAATAGAAGTTACAGGAGAAAAATTAGAGTACAATCGACACACATTTTCTGCATGTTTGTCAAATAACCATAAAATAAGTAACAAAAAAAATATTCATAGTCGATAAAATAAGTTCAAACGTATTCTACGGCTGAATTGCATAAACAAACTTTCATCAATTATAAATTTTGTAAATTTTTAGAAATCAAAACTAAAAAATGTGTTTCTAAAATTTTCCTTCCGATTGAATAGAAAACTGAATAAAGAATATTTTTGTTAAAACATAACAAAAAAGTTCAAACGAAACCTACAGCAGATGACATCTAAATTCCTTTATACATTCGAGCCACAAAAATATTAGCCTATTATTTGCAAATTGACTTTAATTCGATATTTATAAGCACTTAATTGGAGTTCCTCTTGCTGCGAATCAACGAAGGTGGTATGCGGAATACCGCAGGCTTATACCACTGCACACTTTCAAGCGGGATCGAAGGACCAAGCCCAAAACAATAAATGAGAGCCCTTTGTGTTGTAAACAGCGTGTAAGCCAGAAACTGCGTCTGACCTCATTTTTGGCAGCTCTACAAACCGAAGTCAACTGTTTTGCGCTTTGCTTTACACTTTTCATCAACTACTTTCTTCAGAAAAATTTATTTTAAAATTACAAAAACTTTTTTGCGCACTTCAAAAAAACTTATAATTACCGTTCTCTATCCTGGAACTTTTTTTTCACTCATTTTTTGAAAAACTTCGACAAACATTTTCATAAATTTTTTTTCAATCATTTATAATCTCTGCAACTTTTCTGCTTACTGAACTTTTTCTTCTATTTGCACTCACTTTCTGAAAAAGTAGTCCAAATGTTTTGGATCTAATTCGCACCGTATGCCAATCGGTGAATCAGTCTGGTCGAAGCCATTGGTAGACTAAAACAGATCTAAACCTGTCAAACAGCCTAATCTCCAAATAAATCTTTAATGTCTGCAACAATCAGATATTCTCGATCTCCAATGTATTGAGTGTAGCTTAAGGAGCATTTCAAAACCTACCGCCGTATCAACAAACAATATAAAAATTAGCAATGCTTAACTGCACTGAAGCAACTTCAATTTCGTCTTTTGTATCAATTGTCCTTTCAAGTGGAGTATTTGATTTTCATAAATACACGTAACGCGAAGGCAACAATTCATAGAAAACGACAACTGGTCGACAGCGACAAAATGGTGGTATTCAGAAAAAGTGACGAATCGTAACAAGGCATTGGCACATGGCGATCGCTTCTCTAATTCGCTCTGCTGTGCTTACGTTCGGCACGAGAGAAATAGTTTGAGCAAGAAAAAAATATTGAAAATACTACATTTTGGTGTTTGTAGTATTTTCAATATTTTTTTCTTGCTCAAACTAGACATAACTTTTTTCTTGACATAACTCTTGGAATATGGTACATGATATGAGAAAAATCATTTAAAAATACATCTACCACAACATTCAACTCATATTTTTTATTTTAGAAGAAACAAGCAGTGAAGGACGATTATCGGATGTATCAGAGCATGAGAAAAAAATTATACAGCGGCAATCAAGTCGACATTACTTGGGTAGACGACCGATGCAGCGAAAAAAATGAAGTTTTAAGCTCCTGAACATTAGAAAAAAAACTGGAAAGTCTATATTTCAAAGCCTCTTTCAGCAGGAAAAAAAAACTTTTTGCCAAACAAATGAAGCAAAATGAGGCTACTAAGCCGATATAACATACACATAAACGTTTCAGACCGAATGAAACTTAAAATGAAAAATGAAATAAAACGGAAATAAATCAAAAAATGAAGTCTTGATTGTATAGCCATGATAAACTCAAAAGTTGGAACTCAACGTGTATTCAAAATGTTAACAAGCTCAAAATACATCTCTTGCATTAAACTCCCAACAGAGACCTGCAGAAGATGAGTCCTGTGGATGCTTACAGGAAATGAGTCATGTGGACAATGTTGTTCACGGAAAAAAAAGTCTAGTGCCAAATTGCTATTCGCTAAAAAAACAGACGTCGATTGCAGTGCTGGCACATAACGATCCAACAACAGCTACATCTGAATTTAAAAACAAACAAACAAAATGATTTTCATTAAACCAAAAATTTTTTTGTTTTAATTCCAAAGTTTTTGTCGTTTGGAGCGAAGGGTTGGGTGGATTGGAATTATACTAAAGAAACACTCAATGAAAGTTTTTAGAGCAGAACAAGGTTAAGCATAATTATATTATATTTCAGTCGCTTTAGTCCTCAAAACGATAGTGTTTTCGCCATCTAAATTAATTAATATGCAAAGGATACTAGCAAAACCTATCAATTTTTCGCGACGCAGAACAGTTTCTAGAAAAATTTGAAACACCTTAAAACTCGACCAAAATTATTGTGATTTTAGCTATTGGACGTTTATTTGTGATATCTAATTTGCATGAAAACGATAAGTCAAAACTAAAGGCCTTACCAATTACTAAAACCGAGATGAAACTTCAAACATTGCTCTGTTAACTTGGTTTGAAATTAGTTTCTTGAGGTAAAGATTTGCAGAAATAAATATTTCCTCTTCTTTTAAAATAAATCAAAAAGCCAAGCCTTGACAGATTGCAATCTTAGGCTAACAAAAAAAGAATAACAGAGAGGCAAAGCGGAGCTTCGCATCTCCTGCGATTTACCGAAAGAGTACTGTTGCAAGCTATTAAATGGTCAGTGAGATGAAAACAATCAAATCGAAAAAAAAAACTTATGAAAAAAACTGGAAAAAAAAAATTCAATCACAGAAAAACACAACCACCACAACTAGGCAAGCTTTAAGCATTTCCCGAGTGCGAGTGTCCACTGAGCCAACAACACGTGGTTACACGCCAAAAAATCCGAAAACTGAAATGCCAAAAGAAATGGTAGTCATAAAAAATTCAACAAATTTTTGAAAAAACGGAAAATTCAACCTCAGAAAAACATACGAGGAACAGAAAAAACACAATCAGCCAAACTTTAGATACTTTCTGAGTGCCCACTAAGCCAACATAATGTGGTTAAACGCCAATTGATCCGAAAAAAAACACTAAATGAAAAGGTTGTCATAAAAATTGAACATATTTTTAGAAAGACGAAAAATCAATCCCAGAAAAACAGACGCGAAACGTAACAACTAGCCTTAGGCAATCTTTTAGTATTTTCCGAGCGTCCAATAAGCCACGAACACCTGGTTATACGCCAATTGATCCGAAAACAAAAACGGCTAAAGAAATGGTTGTCAAAAAAAAATTCAACATATTTGTGGACTGACGAAAAATTCAATCTCGGAAAAAATTGACGAGAAACAGAACAACTGGCAGTAGGCAAGAGTTTAGTGTTTTTAGAGCGCCTATTTAGCCAATATTACGTGGTTAGACGCCGATCGATCCGAAAATCAAAAATGACGAAGGAAATTGTCATAAAGAAATAAACATTTTTTTTTTGGAAAAATGAAAAAATGAATCGCCAAAAATAGACAAGAAACACAACAACTAGCATCACGCATGATTTTAATATTCTCCGAATGTTCAGTAAGACAACAAGACATGGTTCGACGCCAATTGATCCCAAAACAAAATACCAATAGAAGTGGTTGTCAAAAATTTTCAACAACTTTTTTGGAAGTATGAAAAAAAATCAATATCAGAAAAACAGACGAGAAACAGAATCACTAGCATTAAGCAATAATTCAGTATTTTCCGAATGTCAAATTAGCCAACAATACGTGATCAGGCGCCAATTGATTTGCAAACAAATACCAAAAGAAACGGTTGTCATGAAAAAAAATTGAGCAAATTTTATACTACCAGCCGACCTGATATATTACAACAATGAATAAACCTTTTTATTCTTAGATCGATGCAAAAAAAGCACAAAAAAAAATTGACTAAACTGACAAAACAAGTGCCGAAAAAAAATTTCTAAGCGAGAAAAAAACCAAGAAAAAAAGGCAAATATACTAATAAGGAATAGTTATTTTAGAAAACTGCAGTAGTTAATCAACGACATTTGAGACTACAGTAAAAATTGATTCAAGCGCAAAAAATGTGGGCTTTCAACTAAGACCTCAAAACACAAGCACACAAACTAAAATCCGAACCGTGACAAAATTCCAATTTCAGACACTGAAAAAAAAAACAAGATCCGGCCGGGACTCAAACCCTTGACATTAGGTCTCAAAGGCAAATTCATTACTTCCAGGCCAAGTCCGATGAATTAACGTCTGGTTTTTGATTTCATATGAAACAAATGTTAAGTGATTCAAGTGATTTTGTTAAACAAATTATTAACCTCAAAAAGTCTATATTCCGATTTGATAACGCTTGCTAATCGCAAGCTTAATAATAACTAGCGTGTAACGCAACCTCCGGTGCTGCTAAAAGCAATTGGGCAGTAACATTTGGACGCAAGATTTGCAACTCCTGAGAGTTCTCTGACAGCCCCCAACTACAGGGTTCGGAACTTCAAATTTTGGAAAAAAAAGTTCAAATTTTCTGAAAATTTTCCCAAAAAATCACCAAAAATGTCACATCTGGTGAACTACAAACATTTGAGCAGTCAAGTTTGGAGGCAAGATTGGCAACTCCTGAGAGTACTCTAACAGCCCCATACTAAATGGTTGGAATTTCAAATTTTGAAAAAACAATAAGTTTTCTGAAAATGTTTTGAAAAAATCAGAAAAAATGACATATCTCGAAAACTTCAAGGATTTGATCAGTTATATTTGAAGCCTTAATTCACAACTCCTGGGAGTAACCTAACAGAGCCTGACTATAGATATGGAAACTTCAAAGCTTTGTTAAATTTTTTATAACTAAGTTTTCTGAAAAATTTTGAAAAAAATATTAAGAAAACGTCATATCTCGAAAACTACAAGAGTTTGAGCAGCCATATTCAGAGGCCAGATTCGCAACCCCCTGAGACTACCATCAAAGATTCCACTAACAGGAATTTTGGAACTTTTTAACATCTAAGTTTTTTTTGAAAATTTAGGAGAAAATCATATCTCGAAAACTACAAGGATTTGAGCAGTCAAATTTGGCGGCGAATTTCGCAACTCCTGAGAATACCCTGACAGAGCCTCACTACAGAGATGGTAATTTCAAGTTTTATGAAATTCTTTATATCTAAGTTTTTTAAAATTTTGAAAAAATCGAAAAAAAACGTCATATCTCGAAAGCTACCAAGATTTCAGCAGCCATAATCAGAGGCAAGATTGGCAACCCCTGAGAGAACTCTCACAATATCCAACAACAGGATTGAGATCTTCAACATTTTGGAAATTTTTTAAAATCTAGGTTTTTGAAAATTTTTTGAAAAAATCATAAAAAACGTCATATCTCGAAAACTACAAGGATTTGAGAAGTGAGAATTGAAGGCAAGATTCGCAACCCCTGAGAGTACCCTGACAGCACCCAACTAAAGGGTGAAAATTTCAAAAATTGAGAAATTAGTTAAGTAAATTTTCTAAAAACTTTTTTTTTAATCTCGAAAATTGCCTATCTCGTAAACTAAAAGGATTTGGTTATTCATATATGGAGGCCAGAATCGCAAAACCTGGGAAAACTCTTACAATTTCCTACTATTGGGTTGCTTATAGCAAACTTGATGAAATAATTACTGAAAAAATTAGGCGACGGGTAGACAGACATAATCAAATCAGTTTAAAAAAGCAGTTATACAGACAGA